AGGGTCTCAGATTGCAGCTTCTCATCATTTGCCAGCATACCAAACAATATTTTGGTAGCTCTCCGTATACTTGATATGAAAAAACAAAACAAAACTGTGATTAACATCACTTGGAGACGCCGGCTTCATCACCTCTGTCTAATAATAGACGTCGTCAGGAGCTTAACGTCCATATAAAGGGGGTAAAAAAAATCTGGAGAGTTGAGTAAGGAAGGATGCACACATTAATGATAGGTCATTAGGCTTCTTCCTCAACAATCACAGCTGAGGGAAGTTGCGCACTGACACTGCATGACGCCATATTATGTAGTGACAAAGGCTGTTTTTTTTTCCTTAGTTCTGTGAGCATGAGTGTCCATCTGTATCCAAATCTGTTTGTGACTGTGTGAGTGCGTGTGTGTGCACGTATGTCATGGATTGAGGGAATGCAAGTTGGAGGAGGATCTGAATCATGCAGATAACACTTGCAGATCACTATGCACCGACTGTCATGAGCCACACAGAGGATCCCTGATATTCACGTGGGTTAGGAACCATAACTGCCAGGAAATACGCGAGACTCCCTCTAAAAACGCTTGAAACTCCTTCTTTTAATTGTTCAAACACCAAACCTAGCTCACAACGTATCAACATGCATAACGTATTGCTACATGAGTATTGCAGTAGCTAATATCCATAGTGTCCTCATCTCTGCTCTAGGACTCAGATCACCATTAATCACAATTAATCAATTAATGAAATAATTGTCAACTAATTTAGTAATCAATTAATCCTTAACTGCCGCTCAAAAAAGGGCAATTTATTAAAAGAACCCAACACTAAGAGCAGGAAGTAAGCCAAAAAGAAAAAGTTGTTTCATTGTGTTTTAGACACAAAAAATGTTTTATGTTAAAAAGAAATTGAATTATTTATCATTTAATGTATTTTATTTCTTTATTTTAATGTATTCCTATTATTGAATAAAATGATTCAAGTGGTTAAATAAGAAAACCGCAAAATGAGCCAATATTTTAACCCAATTAATCACTTAATCAATGGTTAATCAACTACTAGAATAATCGTTAGTTGTAAAAGAATAAATTCAAGTTACATTTTACAAGGAAAAAACAAAAACGACAAAAAAAAAAACATGGAATAGTCAAAGTCCAAATGTAAATCTAATTGAAAATGAGTAAAAAACATTCAAGCTTTTTTCAAAAATAATGGGGGTAGGGGGAGAAATGCAGTTTCTAGGTGTGCAATGCTGGTAGAGACATTCAAAAAGACCTTCATCTGCAGAGAAAACTCGAAGCATTGACTCAGTGAGGCTGATTGCTAATGCACACCACACTTTTCAGGTCTTCATTTTTAAAGCTTTGTTTTAAACCATGCATTAATTTCATCCTGCTCAACAGTCATGCACTATTCTGTATCTTTCTAACTTATAACACCTAAAAAGTAGATCCAAATTTGTAGATGTCATGTGAAAATAATCTGGAGCTTGAATACTTTAGTAAGGCAATGTAAGTATGGCAGCCTGAACATGGACATATTCATGTGGTAGGAGATTTCAGAAATGAACAGAGAGCACCGAGTTTATGTTTTATGTAAATTTTTCACTCTTCACCAAGACGTTTTCATTCGTAAACACATTCCTGACCTCCTGAGTGTTTGTCCTCTTTCCTGTTTTTATTACTTTGCCTTATCCATTTGCTTCAGGCAAGACGTGTTCATAATAATTACCAACTGAATGTAAAAACATCTGCTAAAACAAATATAAAAAAAAAATCAACTTTTGTTTTGGTACAAGGTCAAATGAGGGGATGCAGTGACCTAAGAACGAGACCTATGGTGGAGTAAATCTAGGTGCTAGTAGAACAGAGCAATTAGGAGCTCAGACTTTTGTGATCATAGTGACGGAACACACCCAGAATAATAATATCACATGCAGTGAGACCATAAGAGGGAAGGAAGAATGTTTTTGATGAAATACCTCAGAAAATGCAAACACACAACTCAGCTTTAGCTTCCAGCAGGAAAATTGGTAAACTCTATTTAGGTCTTCTCTTCCTCCTCTGTTTTGAGGAGGGCTAGTGAATTGTTCCCACGGTCGAGGCAGTAGTGAAAATTGCACCTTCGAGTATGAACACCTTCCTGTTGGCAGTTCAAACAGCTCAATTAAAGGATCGCAGAGAGGCATGTTGAGACCTCAAGAACCAACTGTAAACCTACTGAGGCAAACTTTGCCCCTAAACTGACAAGCCCATTAAGGGGAACGGTCATCTGAGAAGAAGCTAATAGGACAACTGTCCTTGGTGCAGTCTATAATCAAGGTTTCTGGAAGTTTCACCAAATCAAATTTCAGACTTTTTAAGACCATTATGAATGAAATTTAAGACCTATATCTCCAAAGAAATGTATGAACTAGCTGCCTAGCTTGCAAGGGTGTTAGCAGCGACTCACAGACAATGAAGACGTCTGTCTGCGTGTAACAAAAAAATTTAGCCCGACAGGATAAGTGCAACAAGATGCCCCAAAGGGCCAATAAGCAGCTGTTGTTTTCACAGTATCACTCTAAATATGAAGGAATAACAAGCATCTGGTAGAACAAGGATTTAAATGTTCATTGGCCATCCTACCAAGTATGGTAGGACTAGTGAAATGGTCAGGGGTGTTCAGTTCTGCAGGTGAAGCCTTAAAAAAATCTGAGTGCACTTGATTAATTGATGAGCCAGATAATAGAGCATAATTGATTAAGAGCACCTGGCTGATGCTTGTGCTTTTCATTCCAGAACAAACCACAAGTTGCACAAACATGAGGGTTAATGGGAATATTAGACCTGGTACTAAAGAGAACCATTCTCAGTCCCAACGCTGCTCATTAAGGTTCTGAAAACACCCCAAGGAAAACACATACCACCAGAAAAACACTTTAACAGTGTCAATTGGAAAAAAATAAATACATTAAAAAAAATAAAATAAAGGTATTGGTCAGAATCAGAGATCTTTTTAAAGATCGCCGAATGGGCAGAAAAACTGCAAGCAGTGTACCTCAAGTTAAAAACAGGTCGACCCAATTCCACGATTTAAGTTCAGCAAACAAGAAAAGTTGAAAAAGGCTTGTAGTTGTTCCATATTTGTACTTCTGCTGTCCATTAGACAGGTCTGTAAAGTCAACCACTTAACATTCCCATAGTACTGTATCTTTAAAGACATTTCGATCTGTTTGACCTCCATTCACTCCCCATCTGTAATCATATGCAATCTCCAGTTTGCAAAGAATGTTCTTGGAGAAATAAAGGGCAAACTGGTCTTGTCCCTCCTCTTTCCATCTGCCCTGAGTGACGGTGCTGATTGACTGGATTTTTTAACTAAAAACAAGCCAAACGCAGCAGTCAGCCTGCTACTAACTAAACTACTGGTAAGCAGACCAGAACTGATAGGCGACCACTTTTAGTCACCTAGTAACTCTGTCTACTGTATTTTACTTGCTAATATGCTGCAGAAGTGTATGCTTCTATTTCCCAAGAGTTGTTCTATGCACATTTATAAACTTCCATCTTGTGAAGAATCCAAAAGTCGTTTCAACTAATTGGAAAGAATACCAGCAAAGATGTTTGAAAATTCAACAGAATGTATTATTTACTTCTAAATCATCCTTCAACTAGAAAGCATTACACCACAGGTCAAAGACCATTTACAAACTAAAGATGGTGAAAAAGAAAATCTTCAAATGAATAAAAGATAAAAAGATGCATAAAAATACATTTTATGGTGAGTAGCTTATTAAGTTTGAAACAAGATCTGAATGGTTGACATTTCTCTGTGCTTGTTATTTATTTAGAATATAAAGAAATATAAAATGATTCACTGTAGATTTACAGTGAAATAAAACCTGAGATGGAATCCTTCCCTGGCAACATCAACCTAAAGAAAAGGTGCTCTCCAATAATGTAGTTTTCGTCTCGTCTCATCACCTATCATAGCCTTTAATTACAACTTGACTTATTATTTTACAGGGGAAAAGACTTTCAGCTTTAATAGAACAAGAAAAAAATAAGAGTCACCAATTAAATCTGTTAAAAGGTTTATTACATTGACATTTACTATGAGGGGTTGTTAAACTTGAAGCGAGCACACAGGTTCTCGAGGGTAAATCAACTAAAACTACCTTTTGATAATCAAATTGGTCTACACAGACATTTTGGGGAACGGGTGCTCAGCGGAAAAAAGGGCACCTTGTGCGGCACATGTAACCATCGGCAACCAGTGTGAGAACCTACCTTTTTCCCTCAGCACAAAAAAGTGTCATTCTGAAATCCGTCTTTAAAAGAGGCACAGCTTGAACATTATGCATATATACCTTCTAAAAATCAATAGCTATATACTGTTTAAAAACCATAAAAAAGATTTCAGAAGGGTACTTTTTTGTCCAAAGGTAAAAAGGCAGGTGCTCCAGCATCTCCTAGTGTTGTAAATTGTTGCCAACATGATTTATTGATGTTGTAAAAACATGCTAATCTGCATTCAGTGTCTAATGCTTTTTATTTATCTGTTTCAGCTAGCATTAACTGAGTTTAAAAATGTTCATATATTGACTGGTTTATCATAGGTGGTAAAATCTCTAGTAAGTCTTTCGTAGTATCATAGGCCTGAACAAGCTTTCACATTATTTTTTGTATGACTTCAATGTGATTTAGGCATCTGTGTATAACATCAGGATTCAGTGCCAGCTTACCTTTCTAACCGGCAAGATAAATAAATTTGCCAATAAACTGTTTATTTTCCTGCAAGAAATCGAAAAAATGTAATTGAAAGAAAAAGACTCATGGGAATTTGATGATCTTTTCCATTTGCAGCATATAAAATCCGTATGATAAGGTCAAGTCCTGCTTCGGGGGAATACTTACCTCACATTTAATCAAATTAGATGTGGCATCAGAACGTGTCAGAGTTTATATGAGGTCTTGGGGGAACTCGGCATGCTGTGGTGAAACACACTGGGATCTGCAGTGTGTGTATGTGTCGGTGTGTGAACTGTAGAGTTCAGAGGACAATAAACTCACCCCGGCTGCAAAACCCAAACTTCCATCCAAGATCCGCTTCTGAACAGGGCAGATAAGAAAAAGAGAATGAGTCCAAGTCAGATAAATCGATGTGTTGAAACCTTAACATAAAAGCAACCGTTCAGTTAACCTCTTAGTGGAGACAACCTGTCACAAAAATTGCTTCGATGTCTACAGAGCCAAATGTTAGACTGTGAAAAGGCAACAACTTTAGAAGCAAAACCACTCAGTCAACAGATGGATTTCTCACACGATGCAGCAACACAATGTCAACAAATCAAAAGAGAAGCTAGCGACGGTAGCTTAAAAAGTGTGTAATCTGAGATCCGAAGAGCCTAAAAGCAGAAAACATTGACCAAGTATATACACGTCTTTTCCTTTCACAGGTAAAAGCAGAAATGAGTGAAGGTCATGGAGCTTTTTGAAGAATCACTTTCCAGGTATTTATTTTGGACAATGGTTCCTTTTTCAAAGAGTTTTGACTTTTGAGGGTCCAGACGACTCTGGACTTTCACTGAATTTAAAATGTCAAAATATTTTTAAAAGTAGTATTTCAAGTTGTAGACAGATATACTTTGCATATAGCTTTGTTCAGGCTTGTTGAGTAGAAGAAAATACGTCAGGTTTGGGTTTATAACACTATTAGAAAATAATTTTGCTTAGTTGGTATCAGTGTTGTTGTGTAGCGAGAAGTTCTTGGGGTCAAATCCTGGTTTGTGGTCTTTATAAATTGAGTTTCCAAGGTTTAACCATGTCAAACATCAATTCAGAGGTTTCAGATTCTCCTAGATTGCACCAGATCTTCACCAGCAAAGCAGCTTACAAAAATGATCTGATGATCCGTTTTAAATTTACAAAAAAATCAAATATCTTAAGAGAAGGGAAGAATAATTAGTTTGAGTGTATGTGTACGCATAAGCAAGACACACTTCTACCCAATGTGTCATCTTACTGGGCTTGATCAGTGAGAGCTCACACTGACAGTTGTTTCAAGTGTTAGCTCATTTGTTTCTAGAGGACAGGATCAATCAAACTTTTCCATAACAGATTATTAAACACTTAATTGAAGAAGACAGGAAACAAAATCAGCAGGTTATCTTAAATGAAAATATGGAACAGTTTTATAAGAGTTTCTAATTAATTTTGCATAGTGCAGAAAGCAATATGGTAAGGCTGTTGCTCTTTCAGTGGCTCATTAACAGTTAGATACAAAATAAAAACACTAGATCTTTAACTCGAGCAAAACTTTAGAAAACATTAAAAAAAAACATGAAAAAAACAAAACAAAAAAAATATGAGACACCAGCCAGATGGAAAAAAAATTACCTTGAGAGAGACTAATGGTAACGGCATTACCATACCCTGTAAAACCACAATTACCCTTTAAACTTTTTGAAGTAGCTTAAACTCATTCATAATGGACGTAGAGCATCTGTAAACATCACTGTTCAAGTCTTGCCAGAGATCATCAGATTGGATTTAAGTCTGGACTTTGAATAGGCCATTCAAACTTATGAATATGTTCTGGGGGAGATGAGTAAAAGGAGCTGAACACATGGCTGTAACACTTTTTTTTTTTTTTTTTTTTTTGTTTCATGCTACCTTGCGTTTGATCATCACATAAAATCCCAGTGAAATAAAAAACTTCCAGGGATAATAATACTTTTTCAAGGCACTGCATATGTTTTTTTTTCTTTTCTTCCTGGACAACTGAGAAATGCTTTGGTTATACACAAATAATATGAAGAATCAAAACGTGTTTCATATTTCACATGAAAAGCAAATTATTAACCATTAAGCTGAAGGCAGAAACAGTGAAAACGGGAAGGACCCTTGAGTGATCAGATCAGAGGGTTTAGATCGAAGACTTGCTGGGGTGACTTTGATCACATTTTCATTGTCATGCGTTCGTTGGTAACAGAGGGATTCTGTTTGACCATTCTGTCATAGAGGATTGATCGATGGCGGTCTCCATCAATGTTTCTGAGAGGGAAGGGCAGAGGGAACTCCCCAAAGGAACTCCGATTTTTGATCACTGGGTTATTACCTGCCAGTCTGACTGAGGTCTTTTATCATCCAGTCAATTTACAGAAGGACATGAGAAAGGAGCATCCACTCAAGTTCAGGTAAGTGTCTACATGATGTATTTCAGGCTTTCTAATCAAAAGACCCCTCAAAAAAACCTGCTTTTGCTTTGTTATTGAGCTTGGAATGCACAGTAAAGTTATTAAAGCAATCTAATTTAGGAAAACTAGGAAAAGAACAACAGCTGAAAGGGTAAGAAACATCCATTTGTCTGCAGAATACATTTATAAGTAAAGTTGAACATGTAAGCCATGCAGATTCAGGAGAAAAGTTTGAAGAGTTGTTGAGGTCTCTGATCACATAGAAACAATTCAGCTATTATTTGGATTCCATAGCAGAGGTCTAACATGCTAATCAGGGAGCTTTGGAGCTGCTAGCTGGAGGATTTTGAGGGAAGGGAGTCAGGGACTGTATTTGCTTTGCATTCCGTCTTTACATTAAGCCATAAGCTAGCTTGTTCCAAACTCCAGCTTTGCATATATGCATGACTAATACCTAAACATTTTCAAACTATCAACCGAAAATAGAATGTGCAAAGCTGTCAGTGTGTACCTGTCGGCTGGAGAAGATGAAGACGAGGGCGGCTCCTGCGGCGGTCAGACCCCAGGTGAACAGAGTGCCCAGCAGGGCCTGGGTCACAGGGCTGTAGCCTTCCAGCATGGTGCCACACCTGGCAAAGCAGGATGCAAAGTCAGTCTCTAAACAAACTACCATTATTCTGTAGTCGCTTTAACAACCGAGAAGATTACAGTATCTTGTTAACATACTGAAACCTTTGCCATTTTGTCACAATAAGGCTTCAAATGTCAAGGTATTTTATTGATCAAAACAAAGTGGTGCACAATTGTGGAAGGAAAATTATATGTGATGCTCAAATTCTTTATGCAGTGGTAGCCACCCAACTGAATGCTTTCTAGAACTTTTTTTTTGCTACACTCACAGGTGCAAGTCCTTATAAATTTACAGACTGGCATTTTTGTCTGTTGTTCTTTGAAAAACGACTCAACAGGGTAGTTGTTTAGCTCAACGGTAAAGCAGGTGCAACACATACAAAAGCTAAAGGGTGGACCCCAGGTATTCATAAGGGGTAGAGAACACCATTGTCTACGAAATGCAAATACCTAAAAACACTTAGAACTGCCTACTTTAATTGTTCAAACACCAAATATGTCTCGATATATTTGGAAACAATCTTAGCACAACATCTACAGTCTTTCCAATCTAGCCAATCAATGCCAGGGCAAATAAATAGCATGCCTGGATTAGCTGTTTTGCAAATGCCAGCCAGTCGCGTGTCAAGTAGTGTTGCGTTGAGGCATCCCAGCTTCCCAAGCTGTTTATTTATTATTATTATTAGATATGTTCTGCAAAAGAATCCACTAACAGGTTTGATTTTCCAAAACCGGAGCAAAAACTAAAATCTGTAAATATTGAACTGCGAATAGGCAGATGGTCGACTGTAGTGCTACTAATGAACAATGACTAGTCTGTCCACAAAATCAAAAACAGCTCAAGCAGAGATTAGTTGGGGCCAATCTCTGAACAGTGATTCTTAAGTCTAACTGGGTTTAGTTTTGAACTTTGACTGGGCCATTCTAATAAATGAACATGCTTTAATCCAGGGGTCTCAAACTCTAGTCCTGGAGGGCCAAAGTCCAGTTAACTAATTTTAAAACCAGGCATTAATCAATGCTTTACTAGAATCTACCTGTGATGCATGTGGCTAGAGTCAGCGTAAAGTCCCGACTGAGTGAAAATCATTATAACTTATTTATGTCACGTTAACGAAGAACAGCTGAAAACTTACTGGGTTTATCAACTGCGGTAGCAATTTGGCTCCAACTCCTTCCCTTGTCATTTCTATATTCTTTGCACGAAATGTTGAACAAACATTAATGTTATTTCCACATATCATCTCCGATGTCCGCTGGACTTCGGATTGCGCCTTGTCAGCTGTTTGGGATTCCCCTCCGTAATTTCCCCTCAGAAAGCACGGAGGAGAATCCGCGCTTTCTGATTGGCTACCTGTCACATTCAGCGTTAAGCTCCCAGTCAGGGAAAAAACCCTGATTTAGATCGGAGCGGCCACGACGATCTACCGTAACACACCATACACTACAGGATGATCGGCTACGAAATCACCAGCGAGAATCTTAGATCGGCCAACGATCTAAAATTGTCATAAGGGCAAAATGGGGACAAAAAATCGTGTAGTGTGAACTATTGCATCAGGATGTGCCCGTCTTCTCTATTTACATCTAGTGATTACTGAAGGGCAATACAGTATACAGACTTTATAATCTGCACTCTTTTTTGAATGCAGTATTTATTTCCACTTTGGCTTTATGTTGTTTAGTTTTTATTTAAGTAAGTTTTTTGTTAATGGAGACTGAGAATCAAATTTATTTTTGTTTTTGATTGTTTTGTTTATCAGTTCCAGTATTATGTGTTCTTTTGAAAATATAGTGTTTCTATCGATGGCAGGAAATCACATGCATTCTTAGTCAATATTATCGTTTATCGCAATAATTTTTTAGACAATTAATCGCTCAGCAAAATTTGTTATCATGACAGGCCTATTTGTTTATGTTGTCTCTTCCATAATTTCAACAGAATATCCAGACCATTTGAATAGAAAAATTGGTTTTCAAATCAAAAATTATTCCTGAAACGTGACCCTAAAAATCAGATTTGAATCAAAAGACACTGAAAGATTCGCATCTCCAGTCGTGGTTCATGGCAAAGAGCAAAGGGAGACTGCAAACATAAAATTAGACTGGCAACTCCAACATCGGCATGCGTGTCCTGAAACCATCCGTTAACTGACCCAGGAGTCGTCCTCTAAGACTGTTTCACCAAATTAAGACGTAAACAAGCATGAAAATCCTGTTTGCTGTGGATTACAATATCCTGCCCTTCTTTATTTGCTTCTCTGTGACCACACCCACAGTGGACTGACTCCCGGCTTCGTAGAAATCCACTGACATGTCACATTGCAGGTCGAATCATGTGCATAAGGCAAATTCTGTTGTAACAGTCCAGACTGTTTCATTCTATTATCTTAATAGGATACTTTTTATTTTTTTAATTGTTTTAAATGTGGTTTTGTGGTTGTGGGTGATATCAACCAAGGAGATAATTGGTGGAGGGAAAAAAAAAAATCCAGATTTTCCAAAAATTAAATCTTCATTAAAAAAAATTTGATTAATTGATTTAAAAAAAACGATGTATCGTCCAGCCTTAACTGAATCAAATATGAAGTAAGAAAACATCCACAGTAAAACACTGGCAGTTTGGTCAAGTATTTCCGACTTTTACGTGAAAAACCTTTGAATAATTGTTGTCCCTTTATTTAATTTTGCATCAAAAATAAAGGAAAAATAAAATTGTTTAACAGAATGGTGAAGCACCAATTAAGATTTCAAACATCAATCTGCAGAAATCTAAGTGCTTCATTCGGTTGATAAAGCTCATCCCACGTTTAGAAATAGTGAATATAGTAAATTTTTTGTCAAGATTCTATTAATCCCACTATAGTAAGATGATACAGTTGAAACCTAAAGTTTATATATGCTAATTAAAAAGACAAACACCTTTACTTTTCACCGTCTGAAGTTAAAAGTCAGTTATAATTTAAAAAAATTAGTTCCATTTGCTAAACATAATTTCCTCAGTATTTGGTAGCCTAGTTTCAACTACATATATATATATATATATATATATATATATATATATATATATATACACACACACATGAAATTTTCTTTGCATTTAATCATTAAATAATGGTAAACAAGTCAGGTGATGCCAATTTAATTCAATTTTCTTGCTTGCAAACGTTTTTGGATCTGACTTAATGGTGTCTGAAATTAA